GTTCTATCTCATGAAACTTGGAGAGCGCTGATGGATAGGCGTGCGGACGTCGAACGACTCATGCAGTCAACTCCGACATCATCGTCATCGTTATCGATCTGTGACCTGACAGTGCGACTCGTGAAAATACGCGACGATAACATCGTTGCAAAATTGGCAATGCGCGACGCTTTTATTTACATAAAGCTCGCGACCGTACTGTTCACGCTCGAACTCGAGTATTGCATCGAGAACATATACATCGACTTGCGGCAAACTGTAATTACCGTTGACAATCGGTACAACGTATTTTTCCTGCGCCAGAATTGCTTTACGAATAGATACGACGCGGCGAATAGAGTTCGAGCGTCAAGTGCGAATTGGTGGCGTACGCTCTGAACGCTATTGTACGCGACGCGTTTCACAACGAATAATCTTATATGTATATCTATGCTCTGAATATTATTGATACATCGCATGACGAATAAATAACTTTTACTCCATCTTTGCGATTATTTTTTCCCATCTTTTGCATTAGCAAGAATACCATTATACTTATAAAGAATACTACTTATACTACTATATAGGAAGGAAACCGAACACACGTATACACGCGCACACATATGGTGCGGCACCGTGTGACATCTCGACGAGACGCCGGTCACAATGTCTCGCTATGGTTGCGCACATGAAAGAGTTTCGGTCTCTTTGTTCTTTCTTCCTCGCGATAAGCGTATACTTTGTCGTATACACATTTTCAAAGAGCTATACCGAGGTACGCATCGGAGTCCTGCCGAAGTCCTCAGTCTTTCACAGTCGTTTGGTACGGGAAGTTCGACGTGTGCCTAAAGTGTGTCTAAAGTGTGCAGCAACTCGCAAGTGTCTCCGGTAAACAAAGTTTTTGAAAAACATTTTACAAATATATGTGTTATTAGCGTCGTTTCCAGACTCCTCGTCCATCGTGTTGTTCTCGTCACCGACGACACCATGGACAAGGAGTCTGACAACGTGTATAAAAAAATCTTTTCAATTTATAGACCCTTTTGAAGTTAGCCCGCAAGATGAAAATTTCTGAACGATCAATAGCTCAAAATAATGCTCCCGATTTACTACGTCCATATTGATAAATATAAAAAATTGCTCCTTTTTAGTTTTTTTAAAAAATCCAAAAAACGATTTTTTACGAAAAACGTCCATAACTTTTGATCTAATTGATATTTTTGAACAAATAAGGTTTCAAAATTTTGCTCCAAATTTGCTCCGTTTGGAGCAATAAATGTTATCAATTGGTTTTTAATAGTTTTTTGTAAATTAAAAGAAACGTTTTTGTGATAAATCTAGGAACTTTTCGTCGAAAAACGTCATAACTTTTTGCCAAAGTATTTTGCAATAAATAAGGTCTCAAAATAATGCTTCCGGTTTGCTCCATTGGCCTAGTTTACACCGAGCACTTGATACGCGTACTAACTAGAAATTTTCTATTAAATTATCTCAATTTCTACAATAAATTTAAAGAATGATGTACTAAGCTGATACATTATGCATTAATATGATTAATTAAATACATATATCATGTATAAGTTTATATGCATTCGTCGAAATTAAAAAAATTTAATAGAAAGTTACTAGTTAGTACGCGTATCAAATGCTTGGTATAAACTAAGCCATTCGAATAAATCAATTTCATAAAATGCACCTTTGCATTTTTGTTTAAATAGAAAAAACAATGTTTTTATCCAAAATCTAGGGGCTTTTATTAAGCGCGCATGCGCATTGGTATGGAGTGTATAATTAAGACGTCAAAACAGTGAAGAAGTGTCAGTATTTATTTATAAATAAATAGAAAAATAAATTAAAAACGGTGAGGAATAATAAATATAAGTATAATAAATAATATTATTGTTACGTCCTGGGTTTGAGAAAAGGACGCAGGGGTGGGGGTTTGTTTTGCGGTTACGGATCGAGAGTTATTATGTATATATATGTGTACGTGTATACGAAAGGAAAGGAGAGACATATTCAGAAAGATTGGCTAGTCCTTAGAGTGGGCCGAGCGGAACCCTTATGACTGGCCGTGAATTTCATCATTTTGTGTCCTAAGGAAGGGTAGGTAAAAAAAAGAGAAGTGAACATAATTTTTTTGATTTTTTTTGTTACGTATTGAACTATTTGAGTCTCTAATATTCGCGGTATGGCTCTCGGAGGTATGTCGGTCGCACGCGGAGGGACCTGGCGATCCACCCTTGCTGGGCGCGTTGGTATGCGAATGGTGGCGTAAGTATCCGCCCTGGGAGGAGAAGGGGGTTTCCGAGGGGGTGACGGAACCCGTGGAGGAGTGGCAAAGGGTCCTGAAGAAGGAGGGTTCTCGGGGGAGTAGTGAAATACCCCAGGTTACTGTTAAGGCATGAAGGGTCAAATTCCCCTGGTTGGAACAACTCCTTTCGCAGCCGCCTTAAGGCTCGTTTCCGGCCCCCAACCCTAGATCGTCGTGCTCTTTAATGGTTAAGTTTTATTGAGACGAGTTATAAGGTAACATATATATATTGATAATTATATACGCGAGGGTTTAAGTATTTACCTTCGGTTTTTCCATTGCGAGAAGAAAGCACGCGTGTGCGAAAAAGATTAGGTGGGTTGACGCCCTTTCTTGACTAAGTATTATGTCGGAAGATAGGTATTTATTATTATGCATGAATGATAATAGGAGAGAAATATAAAAAGAAAAAAATATATATATGTGCTGGGAGAGTTGGATGTCCCTGATGCGTTGATTTAGTTCGTGAGAAAGAGGAGACACAGAGGACATACGCCTTTAGTGAGCGCGATTTAGGAAAGATGGAAGGTGGGAATACACTTGTTCGATACAATAATTTCAGCCAGAGAAAAGGACATGCGCCTTTAGCAAGCGCGATTTAGGAAAGATGGAAGGTGGGAGTACATCTATTCAATACAATAATTATGGCTAGGGGCAAAGGACATACGCCTTTAGCAAGCGCGATTTAGGAAAGGTGGAAGGTGGGAGTACACCTTTTCAATACAATAATTATGGCTAGAGACAAAGGACATACGCCTTTAGCAAGCGCGATTTTTAGGAAGGTGGGAATGATACTTCTATGGGAAGGCGTTTGAAAGAGAAAAGAGATCATGATATATGAACCTTTAATGCAGAATGATGCTCTTGTCCCAGTGTATCGTCACCGAGGACAGCGCGATACGAAAATGAGCGAAGTATCATCAAAATCGGCGCTCTTATATACTAATCGGTTGGTGGCAAAGGGGCGAGGGGAAATGGAAATTCTCGGAAAATTAGAAAGTGGTGGATTGCCCTTTGATCGGTAGTTCGATTCCCGAATTCGCGTTTTCCGAGAAGTCCCATTGTCCGTTCACGCGCACCGAACGTGAGCGCGCGCGGAGCACGTGAATCACGCTTGATTGTCCTGTCTCTCGCAATCATAGAGTTTAAATGAAGATTATATAATATCAAACTATCATTATAATATTAAAGTGTTATTTTATATAATATTAAATATATAACATAATATCAAACCAATATTATAACATTAAACTATTATTTTATATAATGTTAAATATATAACATAATATCAAACTGATATTATAACATTAAACTATTACTTTATATAATATTAAATGTATAACATAATATCAAACAAATATTATGAGAGTGAATTGTTCGTCCAGATGACGATTGGTCAATTCGCGATTGGCTGATCGACGTCCCGATCGATCGTATGACTATCTATTGTCTTTGTACTTCATGATTGACGTGGGGTGCTAAGCACGCCCGCTCTACACATTATCTCTCTCTGTCTGTGACCGCCGAACGGGCACTTACGTTACCAAAAGTAATAGACTTTAATGTAATACGATGTAATAAGAGAGCCGTCGAGTGAACACAAATATACAATATATATATATCAGTTTTCTCAAGAGTATAAAAGAACGTGTGTCATTTCTGACTCCAACCTATCATATTATTTTAAAGTTATTAGTGAATACATGTATATTTAATCTTTTTAATTTACATAAAATATTTACTATTAATAAATAATGTATTGTTAGCATGAATTGCATGTCATATATTTCCTTGAGTTTATATACAAAAAACGGGCGCGCCAAGTATGCTGCTGCTGGAGATTTCTTCCTACCTTTGATTTTTCTGTCACGTAATTTGCTACTTGTTATCGAAAATCCCTTTTTAATTTCTGCGGTCCTCATTACGCTATCTATTGCATTTCTTGTTTTATTTTTACGTATACATTGAAAATAATACAACATGGATTTTATTTGTTTAATTTGATATAATATTTTTTTTCGAGGTATATTTTTTTTAGTTTTTAATTCAATTACAATAAATATACTTGAAATAATATTTTCACTTCTTTTTGGTAATACTATATTTTTAATTTAATAAATTAAATTTTTTAAAATCATGTATACGTTAATACAACTTGGATTTTGATTGTTTAATTTGATACAATAGTTTTTTTCGGGGTATATTAATTACAAAATAATTTTGCGTGATTGTTATATATTGAAAATAATGCCACTTAAGGTTTTTTTATAATTTAACAACAGTTTTTTTTCGAAGTCATATTATAAATATATTTAAGATGATACAAAAGTTTCATTTTTCTCAATCTGATACAATTTTTTTTGAGGTAAAAACGTTAAAAAATATACTTCGCAGTTTTTTTACATTTTTAATGTCTATTTTCCACGGATTTCACTAATTTTTTGCTAAGTTTTTGTTTCATTAATAATAAAATGATTTTGCGTGATCGTGTTATACATTAAAGATAATACCATATGAATTTTTTAAAATTTAATACAACAGATTTTTTGGAGGTATAATATTTACAAAATGATTTTAGTGATTGTGTTATACATTGAAGATAATCCAATTTGATTTTTTAGATCAATTATAATAAAATACAGCGTTTACGAAACCATTTTATCCTTATTGTTTAAATATCAAGATAAACAAAACTACTTTAGAAAAATTAGTTTTCAGTCATGATTAGTGTTACATTTCTAAGAACCTATTATTCACACAAATACAAAATATTTATTT